ACAACACGTAGTCCGGACTATAATCCTGATACATTAATACAACTCGAATCCAAATAAGGCATAGTCAAATGAATGTGGCATGGACAACCCACATGCTCATTAAATAAGGCAATAAAGCCCAACAGCAGTCTCAACAACAACAACATGACAATAAATATAAAGCAGGTCGGCATCCAAGCATAATCCTAACATATCATTATAAAGCAAAATCTCAACTCAGCTCCGGCATCCTGCCACCCGAGGTCTCAACCCCCGAGTTACCAGAAATTGAAATATGTGCGCTAAACGTGGGGTGAGATCTCTAAACAGAAATCTCAATAAGACAAGGGGTCCTCAAGGATTCCTCCACCCCAAGCTCACTTACATGTGCAATATAAGTTCAAAAGCAGTAATATAATAAAAGTTCCAAAATCAGTGCAATACAACATATAATCATGTCATGTGTGTCAACTATTCTACTGGCCAGAGAAATGCAGGAACTAAATACGTCAATTGCCTACACTTAGTGCAAGTCACTACTTTCACCCACCCACAGAATCACCCTATGGCATGTGTCATACATGCACAGGCTTACCGTCTAGGTGGAACAACGCATGCATATTATAAGCAGTTGCACAATAATAGCTCAACAGCATCACAAAATCAATACATGAAAACATATCATGCATATAAACCATCTCCCCATGGGGTAATGTGGAACCAACAATGGCTAAACCGAGGACACGAAAGCTTACCTCTAAGCAATCAATCCAATCCAAGGTCCACACTAGCTCAAAGTCCACACATAGCACAATCACAATCCAAGCTCAAAACAGCAAAGAGGGATGCTCTTGGAGCTCTCTATGAAGCTCCCAAGATTCTGACTTCGCTATGCACGAAAATGATACACTAAGAAAAGTCCTTTCTCTTCAAAGATCTCACCTTGAAGCTCCAACACTCAAGGAAATGGTTCCCACAACAAGGTTCATGAACTCATCCCCCCAACACTCCTCAAAGCAGATCACACCTTGTTGTTGTCATGCACTTAACCAGTTCCCTCTAACACCGTGGGAGAAGCAGAGTTGGAAGCTTCAAAACAGGGCACAACTATTGCAAATTTCAAGTATGCTTTGTCTTGGATACTCTATCTACTTAGACAGCCAAAATTCTCCAGCTGACTCACAAAATAAAACACCAAAATTGCTTGTTACGCTCATGAGGTCATATAGAAATGTTTGATGTTAGTGCTAGTGTTAGTTAGGTGTAAAGGGCAATGTAATAGTATTAGAAGTCTGTTAAGCAGTTACAACTACAAGCAAGAGTTACGTTAGTTAGTTAGGCCCAAGTGTGTATATAAAAGAGAAAACAATTGTGTAAAAGGGATATCTGGAGAATAATAATCAATTTGCTCATTTTGTTTCTTTATGTTTTCTTGGATACTACTCTATTCGTCCCTGTTTTCCTTCTTTTATAGTGCAGATTCTTGATTTCTTTTATCATTGGTGCTTTCACCATGAACCTTCATCTTTGTCGAATGTAGCAAGTGATTCGAGATGAAAACAAGAATGAAGCAAGGTTGCAGCGAAGATCAAAATTTATTCTCCAATATCAAGAACTATTGCAGCAAATTCACGCTGCAATTTTGGGTATTGACACATCCTTGATCCTTCCAGCTCCCATTCAGGAACTACCAACGAACCACCCACCTAAGATGATAATACACAGGAATCGGAGCATCGAAAGATTATAACACCTCGCATTTATAAATCATATATTAATATATTAAATGAAGATTAAAGGGAAGGATTAGTGAAAATCCTAGAAATTAGGCTAAAATACAAAGAAAGGGTAAAACGGTAATTAGCCAAAAACGCAACCTAGGAATGAAAAATTGAGTAGAAAGTCTCAAATGATGAAAATAACCCTGAAAATAGATTCAGAATGAAAAATTGAGTGGATAGGCAAGTTTCAGAAAATTCAGTGAATAGTACTTTTACTAGGTAAAAATATCGTGGTACGATTGCACCGTAAAACGTGCCGATTGAGATTTGAGCTCTAGGTTTGGATATAAGTTATAAATGGTGTATAGGACTAGGAAATATGATTTCTGATGAAATTTTACATACATTAGTATGTTTGGGGAAGCGTACCTACGGCGCGCGTAACAGCTTAAAACTGCAGTTTCTCCGAACGTTCAGAAAACTCAAGATTCATCTGATCAAGGATAATTAAAGGACAATGGTTAATGTTAAAAATTAAAGTTTCTAAATAGGTTATGGATTTATGGACGTTTAGTGGAATCGGAGGGAAATTCGAATTAGTTTGAAATCGCGTGAGGTGGCGGTGGGGCCCACCTCACTCAAAATCACTTAAGACACATAAGCATAGGTACTATTCATCATCACCTTCTCTCCTCACCTTCATCAAACCCGCGGCCCTCCCCCTCCCAAAGCCCCATTTTCATTTCAAACTTCATTCTCCTCTAACTCCATCAATAACTAACTGAATCAAGTGATTTTTGACTTGAAATTTGTTGGAAATCACCTCCCAAACACATTGGTGGTATTCTTGAGCCATGAAACCCACTATATTTTGAGAAAAAAACCCCCCAAACCCGCGACCCTTTGGTGGAGATTTGTGTTCATGGAGTTACTAGGAGCTCCAATGGTTTAGTATGTCTTGGAGGAGTCTTAGGCCAAGCTATTGAGTAAGTTTCATCACTTTACATTGGTTGGGTTGTTGATTGGGACTCATGAACCCTAAGCGCATTTTGTATAATTTGTGTTGTTAGAGAGCTCAAATGGAAAATGTGTATTAGATAAATATGTCTTAGAATGATGTGTTGGAGCTATAAATGCAATAAAAATTATTGAGAAAATGTGCTCATAACTTAGGAAATTTTGGATGAAATATCATGACTTTGTGTTGGAGATTGTTGTTAGGAATGTGTAATTGGATTGTTGTATGGTTGTATGATGAAATAATAGGATTGCATGATGTGTGGAGTAGTTGAATTGGATGGAATAATCCTTGGTATATGGCTTGGTGCAATTCGGTCATAATGGGTAGAATGAGGAATGTGATGTTGTGGAATTGTATGATTGGTATAATGTGTTGTTAAATGGTAATTAGAAGGGTTGTGTGATGGTTGGAAGCTTGGAAAAGCAATGGAAAAATATTGGATGGTGTTGGATTATGTATTGAACCTAGAGCGAATTAATTGGCAAAATGATGTTTGAATGATGTAGGATGCAAATTGGCACCTAAAATGACATTGGGGTAACCTTAGGATGCTTAAGGAAAATGAAAAGAAAATAAAGAAAAATATTTTGTAATTTTGCACTACAATGGCCGAACCTACCATGGTGTAGGGGGGGAATTTGACGTTTTTGGATTTTGATAGAATTATCGTGTGTTGATGATCTGTACATGGTCATTGTAGGTTGCCGTACATGGATTTGAACCCCGAACCGTGAGCTCGGTTGGTTGCCCTTGGTCCCGGACCAAGTGGGATTGTGGTGAGTATTTTGGAATCATGCTTGTTGAATTAATAACTTGCATGTGGTTGAATGAATGGAAATTAATCGGGAATGTCCTATGTGTAGGCATTTCTGTTGGTTAACTAGCTCGGGAAATATATTGCATTGGAGCTACGTGGAGAGGATTATACAGGTAACCTCTTGGTACTGGGGCTTGATCCCCTTGTGTGTTCCACCATGCCCGTTGAGGGTAACGGTAGGAAGTATATGCAAATAATATAGGATAACATGATCATGCATATTGTATGTGTGTTGGTACATAAGATGTATTGTGTCTCTAGCCAGTAGACTGTTTGCCTTCGGGCGTTACGGACTTCCACTGGATAGGTCTCTGTGAGGGAGTTCCAGTTGACCTGGAGTCGTGGTGAGTGATCCGGATAGGAGTACACTAGGAAGTCTCGGGTGGTTATGGATGGAGCGTGCCTTGGTTTGATGTTCTGGGAACACGCCTTGGTTTGAAACCCGTAGGCTTATATGCCGAGCCAATAAGCTAGACGTTGCGTGGTTTTGGCATTGACCATTCCAGGTTCGTCGTATTTTGTATCCCTATGCTCCCCTATTTCACTAAATCTCTTGTTTTAACCCATTTTCAGATGTTATATTATATTATTTATATGCATCGAAATGAGCTATTGGACGGAGTATTCTCCAGAACCTCTGGGTTACTGAGATATATTTGTATATCCCACCCCACTTTGGGGGCTTTATTTCAGGAGGTAGCAGTGGAGTTGGAGCGGCGGGCAAGAAGCCCGCAGGATGATTCAGACATAGGATTCTGTTTATTTTGCATTTTGGTGGCCATTGGGCCTAGGCTAGACTTAGGTCATAAACAATGCATAGGATTAGGAGATGATTGTCATTTTGTTCATGACGTATTTTGTCTAAGTTTAGTCTTGATTTATCATGTTTATTTTGGAGTATTTATTATGTTTTACTTGGAGGTTATGGTTTGTAAATTGTAATATGTCATTTGGAGGATTTGTAATTTGTACATGAAGACCTGATGTGACACCCTTCCCTGTATGCATCCAAGGGAAGTGTCTGCTAAAAATCGAATAAAGTCGCAACATTATCGAATAAAATTCTTTTTCCGTAAAAACATTTTGATGTCACAATTAAAAATCTTGTCTGGAAACGGGCTTTATAAAATCATACAGCTCGTTAATTTTTAAAATGGCTTTTGTTGCGCAACTCTGATTTTTAATGGAAACAGCGTGTATTGCAAGAATCAAGTAAATTCGAACTCTCAAGATTACAAAAACTTTCTTTGCTACGAAGAAACTAGACATCTGGGGCTTTACGGTCATAAAAATTTTATATATCAATTGGAGGTCTGTAGCCCCAGAAACAGAACTCGCAAAGTACTCGAAATTTCAGTGTATTTTTCCAAAAACCTCCTGACTTGCAAAAATTATAATAAATCGGGTTTACAAGCTTTGGACATATAATTTGAAAATACACAACTGGGGCTTTACGTACATATAAATTATACCTCATTCGGAGGTCTGTAGCCCTAGAACGAGAACTCGCAAGGTGCTCGCTAAAACAGTTCAAAAATCCGAATTTAAATACAACAGAAATTTGTTTGACAATTTAGATACCAGAATCACATAAGTATCAAATGAGATATAAAAATCACGCCACAACTCCTTTCAAAACAGAATATGCATCATAGCATGCCATTCTTTAAGATACTACATCAAGGTCAAATAGTCAGCACAATCAGCAGGAACAGCGAGTAAACAGCAAGGTTGCCAAACAGCATAACTTAAACAGAATTTGTCATGTGATCATGTCATCAAACACTTCTTCGCCTTCCTGCAATTTTATAAAAATTGAGCCCCAGAAGGGGTGAGAAACATCCCAGTAGTGTGGCAGAAAATCCAGCAATGCAACAATGTTAACTTAAATACCGAATTTCCAAAATTGTCACATCATCAAATAGTTCCAGAACAGAATCCAAAATATAATCAAAGTGCGTATATAACGCCAGAAAACTAATCATAGTGCGTATATAACGCCAGAGTACTAATCAGAGTGCGTATATAACGCCAGAGTAATGTACGCTCATAGCACTGCAGTGCACGTACTACTAACTAACACCGTGGATATTCCATTTTGGCTCCATCATAGGGGAATTCCAACTGTGACCTATGCGGACTGAAGCCAAGTGTCCCATACCCTGGTACCGGAGGGATGCCTATATGATGCGTGCTCAAACATATGCTTACTTTTATTATATACTTCGGTTTACAAAACTGACTGCATAATGTTGTATGGTATGATATGTTTTGTTTCGCACACACATGTCCAAATGCAGTTTTATGATGTTCATGCGTATGACTAAATATCAGAATCATAATTTATATATAACTATGACAACAAAAATTTGAAGCATAGTATAAATCCAAAAAGAAATTCCAACCGTTCTTATTCCAAATCAATCATCATATCCAAACAGAAATTCCAAGAGTTCTTATTCCAAATCAAATTATAATTACCTTCAAACAGATCAGAACAGAACATGAGAGCAACAAATCAAAAATTCGAGTACTAAATTAACAGTCACAAAAGGGTAATCCACCGAACACACACCTCGATGCTTACAGACTTTTAACCAGATATTTTCAAATAGTCCACATTTTAGGATCTTGCGCACCTAACAAACATAGGTACCAAGTCAGAATTTATTACATATACTTCCTATACACCACATAGCTTTCCCATTCTCCTAATTCCTTGATTTACAATCGAATTCCTAGGCTCATAACTTAGTAAGCTTTCAGACCTAAGGGTGCATTACCAATGGTTATCAATTAACAACATCCAAGGTTTCCTTTGCAAGCAGATTCGGTTTTTGAAACCGTGAACTAGGTACTTCCTTTTTTGCTTGCCATAACATCATCCGTATGATTTAGGAGTGGTTTATCTAGATTTTAACATGCTGTCTATAATGTTATTAACACATACAAGGCTTGATTCAAAACAGATTTCATGGTTCTCTCCCTAATTAATTTTTCTGTCTTGAAAATAATTTTACCAAACGTTAACCATGATAAAAAAAATCAAAGTTTCTAAGACATGCATTTACGGTTTTCAGGCCAACAATTAGAGGGCTTCTATTTTCATTTATCATACCACTTCCTACAAGGCTTAGGTGCACTAAAGGCTCAAAGAATGCTGCCTATATCAATTATAAATGTTTACAAGACTTATCAATTTCCCCTAATCCAAGAAACAATCCTTAATTCCACAAAATTACCTTTCAAGCTCCAAAACTCGGGTTTTCTTGCTTGCACCCAAAAATTCAAAATTGTAAGGCTGAACAGAAAAAGAAAGGAAAAGAATTAACCAACTAATACTCTCCTAAGTTACATGTAAAGGCCGAAGCATTGGGTGGAAGGGGAGTTTTGATTGCTCAACAAAATAACAGTGAAGCTATTTCCCAAGCCCCTAAATCGGATTCTGTAGGAATGCATACATCAATAGTCAAGGTTTTTACGGTTTGAACAGAATTAAGGGAAGGATTACAAAACAGAAATTACTTCCTAGAACCTACAAGCTAGCCGAAGCAGTGCATAAGAGGAGAAAGGAAAAATGGAACTCAACTTACCAGCTCACTAGCACACAAAAGACCATCATCGACCAAGGAACAGTCCTACACTTTTCCCTTTGCTCCAAAAAGACCGGTTCCAGCTACATGCAAGGGAAAGGGGAATTCGTTCAGCGCTGTACCAAGTGCATGCAGTGGAAAAATTCAATTAAGACCTACGCAAGTATTAGGGAACAAGAAGACAACAAAAGAAACATCTCACCTCCTTGATGGATGTATACAGCCGAACAAAGAAGGGGAAGAAGAGGATGAGTATGCTTGGGTCTTTGCTATCTCCTTATGGACAAGGATGAGCAAGCCATTTTCTTGGAGTATTCCTTTGTTATGCGCATAGAAAACATGAGAGTAAAGTGGGGCTGAGTTTGATTCAAAAGGAATAAGAAGAAGAAGTCAACATGTTTCTCCTTCATGTTGCGCATAGGTGGGAAGAAGTTGTCATAAATCTGATCCAAAGGTACAAGAAAAGTAAGATAGCTTTTGCCCTTATTGGGCGCTAGGTGGTGAGGGCTGCCATTGACCAATAGAATTTCATGCATGCAGATTTTCTGAGAGATAAACTAAAGGTTCAAGGATAGGAGAGATTTGGGCTGAAACAAGTCCTTCCACAATGGCCTTGGGCTATCGCCCCACAAAGGAAAAAGGGTCTCAAAGTGAATGTCCAACAACTTACCTATCTCATGTACAACCTACTACTTATTATTTTATATGCCTTCTAAGTATTAACTAAGGTTTTCATACTTTATGATTTTTAATCCAACGCATGCATTCACCTCCACTATGGCATTTTAATTAACTTCATAATGGTTCACTTATCACATGTAATATATATTAATTATTATTTCATGTTCCCACTAGTTAGTACTAGGGTTCCTACCTACATTGTAATTAAATGTAATACTACCCCTTTTTAACTAGTGTCTTGAATATGTTAAAATATACACATATACTCGCTTATAATAGCAACAAAGATAATTTTCCTAACTTAAATTAATTCCACTCTAAACATAAATTTAATTCGAATTTCCAGCATGCTTCACACCCCTAATTGCAAGTTATGTAATTTCCTAATTATGCGGGATGTTACACTCTCCCCACCAAATTTGAAGTTTGTCCCCAAACTTCGTCCTACCATTCCGATAACTACATAAGTCATATGCCAAACACAATTGCATTCGTGCAAGACGTTACATTCAGCTAAGCATCTATAAAAGTCATTATAAATTCAGAATCTTACAAACAAACTGGACCTTACCTGTTCATTAGATAATATGTGACAAAATTTTAATCGTACAGAAGGAATAAAAAATTTTCCTAGCTTAATCATAATAAACAAATTTCTGGTTTCTCTTTAAACAACGTCAAAGACCACACTGTAATAAAGATGAAGTACAATCCGACCAAAAACTCCAGTTATCCTTAAATCATAATGAGGCTCACGTTTTTGTTACATAATTAGTTGTTAAACTAGACAAATCCATTTACAAAACACTTCTTCACTATATAACTTTATACTTGATGGTTGATAGAAAAGAAACAGGTACCTAAGTCTCTCCTGTCAGGATCTTTATAAAGACCCAAAGAATCTTAGTCTAGTGCCTAAACAAGAAATGAATCTGGTTCCGTGCCTGTATACATTTGTGATTATCGCTTAACATTATTGTTTATTTTTCTTGTTTCTTATGTGTGTCCACATCAATAACATGCCATCCTCTTATTTATTCACCTGCTATACTTGCCATACTGACAATGCATGTCATTACCTACTAGATGACTCTAGAGTTTTATGCATGATTGGTTGAGAGTTAACAATTCAGTTTACAAGGTTACTTCACAATTGATCCCACGGACAAATTTTTTCAATCTCGAATTAGACAATTTTAAAATGACTAAATATACCTGCCTATTACTTGTGCAAACAGGGGGCTAATTAACTAGGACCTTCAATTACACTTAATTTATCTTCGCAGTTTACATGTTACAAATTAGAATTTCACCCACTTCCTACTTACTCCTTACATATAAGAGAATTCAACTCAATAAACACTTCACCACTAATTACCTGATTTGACAAACATCACGAGTAGAATTCCACAACTTAATAGTCTACAGAAAATCGAGTAAATAAAACAGAACGCATCAGATTCCAAATTACAACGTAGAAGGGTCTTCATAAAATCACAAAATTTCATCACGAGCAGAATTCCAGTAAATGTTCTTATTTCCTAAAGACCTTAATCCATAACTATTGAGGTATAAAAATTTAACGGCATCAATTAAGTGGGTAACACCCTATTCGACTCTATCTTACGGAAAGAAGGAATTACATTGATGAGTAGTGCTTTTGCCTAGCGTTCATGGTTTAGGAGTCACCTCTAATTAAACGCGAAGTACCTGATTACAGTAAGAGAAGAGGAGGGACATATAATGAAATCTGTGTGTTTGTAAACTCTATCAAGGAAGCTGAATTATAAGAACACGAGTTGGGACACAGAGCTTCTGGGGTACTAACTCCTAATTGCCATAATTACATGAGATGTTAAGCCTGTTCGCTTATTCTATAGTTACTGTCTAATATTTTCCTAAAATCATATGTAACCAAGTCTATTCTTTTACAACGTACTCAACAAAACCAAAGTACCAAGCAGTCACATATACAGCTAATCAATTCTATCCTGCTTTTCACACATATCATGTTAAGTGGTACCTCTCATACAATTCGTCAAAACACCCATATGAGGAAACTTCCTCGAGCTTTCCGCTGTCTAGGTACCTCAGATGTAATTGACTCTACTGATCAGAGGATCCATTAACCATGATATGAACTTCTCAATCATTAATACACATTGCAATTCCTAAACAGCTACCAAAAGCACTCCACCAACAATACCATACCATTTACCTCAAATTAGGTTCAGATACACTCCATAACACATCCCACGCTTTAAATCCAGCTTTCAATATAAAAGAGAATTCACAAAATCAAGTGCTCAAAACAGAATTTAACACAACCAGATTCACAACATAGAAAAGTCTCCCTGAAGTAGTTAGATCAGAACATGACTCACACATTCAGATTACATAACAAAATGGATTTCTTGAGCACAGTACACAAACTGAATTTAACTAGATGTCACTACTCCGGAGATTGCATACTAGACGGTTAAAATAAATCAAACGTTTCATAAACTCAAATTCTTACACTCGA